CTCTCCCGCGCCACCACCCTCCCCGCCCTCGCGCCCGCCGCCCTCGCCGCCCCCGCCGCCTCCCTCGCCACCGCCTCCCTCACCACCACCGCCCCCCTCGCCGCCACCCCCCTCGCCGCATCCGCCGCCCTCGCCCCCACCGCCCTCGCCGCCGCCGCCCCCCTCGCCGCCACCCCCCTCGCCGCCACCGCCGCCCTCGCCCCCACCGCCCTCGCCGCCGCCGCCGCCCTCGCCGCCTCCGTCCTCCTCTCCCGCGCCACCACCCTCCCCGCCCTCGCCCCCGCCGCCCTCACCGCCCCCGCCGCCGCCGCCGCCTCCCTCGCCACCGCCGCCAAGGATCGAGGGCTACGTCTTCGAGAACAAAGACAGCGACCAGCTGTTCACGGAAGGCCTCGACGAGTACCTCGAAGGCGTGACTGTCGTCATCACCAACGGACAAGTCACTTACACCGTCGTCACCGACGCGAACGGCTTCTACAGCCAGGAGCTGCCGTCGGCGGGCGAGTGGACTGTGGTCATCGATAAACGGTCCTTCGCTCTGCTGAACATGAGGCAGACTCTCGGCGCCGAGTCCACAATCGTCGAGGTGCCACCCGGCGGGGTGGGGAGGGACCTAGACGGCTTCACGCAGCCCTCGTCTCTGAGCGGCACGATCTTCATGGACGCGGGCGTCATTGGATACTACGATCCCGACATCGACGACGAGGGCCTCGAAGGCGTGACCGTCATCCTCACCAAGGGAGACGTCACGTACACCGTCACCACAAACGCCGACGGCAACTACGCTCAGGAGCTCCTTCCCGGCGAGTGGACCGTCACCATTGACACGTCCACGCTGCCGCCTGGGCTCGTGCAGACGATGGGCGAAACTCCCACAGTTGTCTCTGTGCCATACGGGGGCGTGGGCACCGACCTGGACGGCTTCGTCCACTTCTCGCCGCCTCCGTCTCCACCACCGCCCTCGCCGCCACCACCCCCCTCGCCGGCACCGCCCTCGCCACCACCGCCGCCCTCGTCGCAAGCCCATATGGGTAATCAAACGGATCGTGCAAGATCAGGGAACATGCAATGAAGATATTCTACCAAGGAACCGAGGGAGCCGCGGAACATGTGGC